CAATTTCTCCCTGCTGTCTCCTTCCTCTGTCGTCTAGTCACTCCTGACATTTTCCTGACATCAAGAGCTAAAAAGGTGACAGGGGAGGGAGCTCCAGCACAGCTTGTGATTGTCAGCCTCGGCTCTGTTCCTGTGTGAAGAGGATGTGTTACTCTCCTCCAAATCAGCTCTCAGAGCTCTTGTACAGTGTGTAACTGCAGCCCCCCACCCCCTGCTTTCTGAGTGTGTAAAATCCTTTTCATCTTTGAGTTTTACAAGGATGTACAGGACAATTGCTGCAAATGAACAGGCGCAATTTATGTAGGAGGATTTGTGTATCATCTGAGCCAAGTCGCTTCATTGGGTATATGGAAGGGTTTAGAACCACTTTAAACCACTTTTTTTCTAAAAAAAAAATAGGTGCAGGAACTCCCCTATTCTGAGTCACTTCTAGTCTCTGCCCCCCCTACCCACCTCCGAGCGCCTTCACTTAGTCCCACCCCCTACCCACCTCCCAGTACCACTTTTTTTTTTTTTTAAGAGAATACAGAGCCAAGTATAATTTTGTGGTGTTAAATAATTTCCTAATAAGAAAAGCAGAAAAATAGATCCCCAGCAACAATAGATTCCTCCGGCAACAATGGACCCCCAAAACAAAATACCACCCTAGCAACCGTAAACCCTTAGCAGCTACAACAGATCTCCCAGCAGCCAGCAGCAATGGACACTCCAGCAATAATAGACAATAGACTTCCCTCAACAGTAGATCCCTTCCAGCAACAATTGACCCCCATCAATCATAGATCCCCCGCCAGCACCAATAGACTTCCCCAGCAAGAATAGATCACCACACAAAAATAGATCCCCTTCAGCGACAATAGATCCCCCAGCACACCCCAGCATCCCTTGCCAATACATAAGTTTCAGTGCTGGAAGTACCGAAACTGCATTCCCCAAAATTCCCGCTGAAAAAAGCCCTGGAAGGAATCCTTTACTAAATAATGACATTGACGTTAAAGTACGTCTAGCATTTTTTGGCCTGGGGTAGAGTGGCGCAGGCTTAGATATCAAGCTGGGTTTTCGGTGCTAGTATAGCTATACTTCCAGTGCTCCAACACTGGCATAGTCCATAGCTGCTAGTCCATGTGCAGAGAGTGGCTACATTCCTACATACAGTGGGATCATGGAGAATGAACGTAGCCACCCTCTAACAGGAAGTCAGATCAGAGCAGAAAAATAAAGAAATTTTGAGACCTGGAGGAGGCTGAGAGCAATTGAAGGTACATTTTTTTTTAAAATTAATACAAACTTAGTTTTTTTGTCACTTTAACATTTGTATTGTGTGCTATTAGTTTGTTTTATTTTTTACTCTTGGCTATCTATTGTTTGAACCGGCTGTCACTTTGTTTTGTAGAGTGTTTATTCCTGTTGCTGCACCATGGCCAGCAGTGTTCAATTCCATGCCATACAAATGCGGAGTGTAAAATGGAGAAAGGGATTCGAGGATGTTTCTGCAATACAGGATTCACAGGGGATGGCATTAAATTCTGTGAAGGTAGGGAAACATATTACTTGTAAAATGTTTCTTTTTTGGCTTTCTTGTGCACATTGGCTTAACTAAAACTCAATGGCCAAACCTTTGGGACCATCACACCTACATGAGCTTGTTGGGTGGAAGCCATTGGGGATTGTTATGAAGTTCACTTTCCCCCATCTTCGCATATATAACAGGCGCTGTTCTTATAGGAAGGCCTTCCATAACATTTTGGAGTATCTTTGGAAATTTGTATCCATTCAGCCCAATGGTTATACAGTATGTGAGGTCAGGTACTGAAGGCCCAGCTCTCATTTGGCATTCTGATTACTCCCAAAAGTGCTCAGTAGGGTTGTAGCGCAGGCAATTTACATGGTTTCATCCAAAACTCATCAAACCAAATCTCTATAGAAAAAAGTAGGAAGGTCAGCACTCCATAAAGAATTTAAATGCAGACAATCTTTAACTGTACAAAGAAAAGAGACCCTGTCTGGAACTTCAAGCATGCAGGGACTGTTTGCTTTGTCCAGATCAATGAGGATTGTCAGCATTTGAATCCTTTATGGAGCACAGCCGGCTTCCTTCTTTCCTGGATCACTGCGTTTTCATGCAGTACAAGTTGAACTCCTGCTAGTGTCCAGCACCCAGTTTTTGGGAAAGTGACCATATTTCAGGCCTGTGAGCAGCTCTTTGTGCAGAGGGGCATAGTCACGGTGGAATAGAAAATGATTTTCTCCAAACTGTTGCCACAGGCTTGGCAATGTACTGAACTGTCTAAAATGTCTTGGGGGGTTGAACTACAGTAGTGTCACTAGGGTCACCTGGTGTATTAAAACATAGTGGATATGATACCAGAGACAATTAGAGACTGCAGACATGATGCCAGAGACGGTCAGAGACTGCAGGCGTGATGCCAGAGACAGTCAGAGACTGCAGGCGTGATGCCAGAGACGGTCAGAGACTGCAGGCGTGATGCCAGAGACGGTCAGAGACTGCAGGCGTGATGCCAGAGACGGTCAGAGACTGCAGGCGTGATGCCAGAGACGGTCAGAGACTGCAGGCGTGATGCCAGAGACGGTCAGAGACTGCAGGCGTGATGCCAGAGACGGTCAGAGACTGCAGGCGTGATGCCAGAGACGGTCAGAGACTGCAGGCGTGATACAAGAGACGGTCAGAGACTGCAGGCGTGATACAAGAGACGGTCAGAGACTGCAGGCGTGATACAAGAGACGGTCAGAGACTGCAGGCGTGATACAAGAGACGGTCAGAGACTGCAGGCGTGATACAAGAGACGGTCAGAGACTGCAGGCGTGATACAAGAGACGGTCAGAGACTGCAGGCGTGATACAAGAGACGGTCAGAGACTGCAGGCGTGATACAAGAGACGGTCAGAGACTGCAGGCGTGATACAAGAGACGGTCAGAGACTGCAGGCGTGATACAAGAGACGGTCAGAGACTGCAGGCGTGATACAAGAGACGGTCAGAGACTGCAGGCGTGATACAAGAGACGGTCAGAGACTGCAGGCGTGATACAAGAGACGGTCAGAGACTGCAGGCGTGATACAAGAGACGGTCAGAGACTGCAGGCATGATACAAGAGACGGTCAGAGACTGCAGGCATGATACAAGAGACGGTCAGAGACTGCAGGCATGATACAAGAGACGGTCAGAGACTGCAGGCATGATACAAGAGACGGTCAGAGACTGCAGGCATGATACAAGAAACGGTCAGACTGCACGGCATGATACAAAAGATGGTCAGACTGCGGACATGATACAAGAGATGGTCAGAGACTGCAGGACATGATACAAGAGATGGGCGGACAGATACAAGAGATGGTTGCACTACGGACATGATACAAAAGATGGTAGAGACCTAGACTGGGACACTAGCAGCAGGACATGATACAAGAGATGGTCAGAAACATGGTTAGAAACTATGGACATGATACAAGAGATGGTCAGAGACTGCGGACATGATACAAGAGATGGTTAGAGACTACGGACATGATACAAAAGATGGTTAGAGACTACGGACATGATACAAGAGATGGTTAGAAACCACGGACATGATACAAAACATGGTTAGAAACTATGGACATGATACAAGAGATGGTTAGAGACTGCCGATATGATACAAGAGATGGTTAGAGACTGCCGATATGATACAAGAGATGGTTAGAGACTACGGAAAAACCACAAACCTTCATGGAGTGCCTATAAGTCGATCAAATTAACAACAATGCATGATAGTCCAAAGGATCAGTAAGAATAAAAAGTAATTCCCAGGTAAATAAAAGACATATTGAAAAACTACCTGAAATACAAATGCACATGAAATATATAAAATATGCTAAAACTGCATATATTGTGACATAAAACAAAGTGACAAAAATATATAGTGACTAATACTATAAAGTACAGCCTGTGGGCTGTAAATCCTAAACATACACCATGATCTCTCAAGGATCAGGAATAAGTGAAAAGAACGATGTGATGAAGAAACAGGTAAGTGAACTCCAATAATCACACTACTAAATATGTGAAATCATCCCAATGGGATCTATATAAAAATATTAGTGTGCAAAAAAAATAGTCCAAATGTGACTATTGCATAATAGTGCCCAAAAAAAATTTAGGATTTTAGTGTTTAGGTAGGAGCGCAGGAGGTTCTTGCATATAAAAATAATCCAATCAATCCATTAAAATCATGAATGCAAAATTCTTGTGCAAAGGACACACCTTACATGGACTTCTGCAGAGCCTGGGATGGAGGATGACTCACTTACTCCATCACAAGACAGCTGTGTCCCCTGGGGCTCTTGTGTGGTACAAATGGAATACATACACCGGCGATCGATCCCCAGAATCAGGTGAATGGAGTCACCCAGCAGCCCTGGGGGACACTACCTTTTGACTGGTAATGTCAGAAGTGTGACAAGAAGCCAACAGGAGGATGCTGGATGTGGGCAGAGAAGTTAGTTGAGCTGCCTGTGGAATGTGAGCTCCAAAATGGCCAAGCATGTCCAAGCCCAGTCAGCTTTAGAACTGCACATGTTCAGTTCCTAAATCATCCCTTTTTTTGGGGGGGGGGTTTATGGACGGTTGACAACCTTGGTGTCACCCCTATGGTGGGTGTCACCTGGGTGTGGTGCACACCCACAGCACCCCCATAGAGACTCCACTGGAACCACATTCTTTTGGCCATATAGTGTATGAAATTGAAGCTTTTGTGTCCTTCAGGACAGGAGGTAATGGGAAATCCCTCCAATGGAGACATATAAACACATTTTAGTAGTGTTGAGGCTTGGAACTTCTGACATGTTTTTACATCAGTTTGTGTCTTCCTTTACGGATGACAGCTACTCTTTCCACATCTTATGAGGGTAGGTAAGGAAAAATCTTCACAATTAAGTCACAAACAAAAACAGAAAAAATAGAATGGTTGGCTATTCACCATTCTAAAGAAGCTGCAAGGAGAGGAAACCATGTTTAACCTCTTGCCGTCCGCCTGCTTTTATAAAACGGCAGGACGGTGGCACTCCGGGGCGGGTTGCCGTTCATAAAAACAGCACCCGCCATTTCTAGCTGTGCGTGCTCCCTGGGAGCGCGCAGCACCACGATCCGGTGCCCGCTGTGTCCTCCGGACACAGTGAAACACAGATCGTCGGACGGGACCTCTGTACGAGGTCCCGATCACATGCAAAGTAGTAAGCAAGATGTCACTTCTGACATCATTGCTTACTACATGTGAAATCTGTGAATGATCACAGAGGTCACATGGTACAAGGCTATTCACAACAGCCTTGTACCATGTGACAAGCTGTGACCAATCACAGCTCACTCAGTAGTTCTCAATGGCTGCAAGAATGCAGACAGAGAAAGAGAAATGATTGCTTTTACATCCTATATGGGTGTAAAAGCAATCAGTGTAAAAAAAAAAAAAAAATCCCCCCCCCCCCACAAGTATTACAGTGTCACCATGACCCAACCAGGTGCAATCTCTTCAACAGGAAGAACCTGCTGTTCTAAAGCTCAGACTAGTTATATGCCTCTCCACCCACCTGATGGGCACACCACCCAAGGATTGGCTGAAGTGCAATAAATATTCAGGTTGCTCATTTGACTTTCCAGCCCACTAATTTCTAGAAACATCTAGAATGCAGGGGGATCAATCAACCATTCAGCCTATGAAAGCCAGAACAGCCCAAAACAGTCAATAGCTGCTCCAATGAATACAAATGAGCTAAAAAGAACTAAAATTTACTTAACTGAGAGGGTGCTACATCTGTTTGAAAGTGGAGTGAGGAGAAGACGATCTGTATGGGCTCCAAGTCACCCTGGACAAAGTTTATACAAGGTTAAGAATTCTCTCTCTGCCCCCATTGGGCATGGTGATGGGGCCTGGTGATTGTTCGCTAAGGCACTCAGTTCTGCATTGTCGAGCTCAAAGTGGGTTTTTTTAATGACTAAGGTACAGTAAATTTTAAAAATTAGACTGCCATTCTATATTGTGATTTGTCAGGAATGTATTCATACAGATTCTGCTAATGAAAGGTCCTCTTTAAAAGATCTGACGGTGCCAATCCTCCTACCATCACCACAATCCTAATCTGACCTGTCACACCAGGACACCACTTGCCGCAAGAGTAAGCAGCAGAATAGAGTAGGTGTAGGCCCAACAGCCTGCTGTGAAGGACCGAGGGAAGGTGAATAGAACGCATTAGTATATATGCATGTCTCACAGCACAGTATAACCTGCAGTTCAGCCATTGAAGCAGCTTGTTATGAAGCAAGACTCCTGCGTATCGCTTTCTTTCTTAGGAAGCATGCCTGTTCATTGCAAGCAATTATTCTGAGATATAACAATAAAGAGAAATACAAAAGAGAGGGTTAGACCGACTACCCACCAAGCTTTACAGCATGATCTGCCAAATGTTGTAAACATTTACTTTTTCAAAACGGAAAAAAAAATAAATATTTGTGCATTTGTTGTACCAAACAGGAACAAACAAAATTAAAAATGTATTTCAAATATGAATGCAGTTCTTGAGAATCTGTATATGGACACAAGGAAAGGGAGTTTTGGAAAGATGAGTTTCTTTTGTTGATGAGTGTTGTTCACTTTTTGATGCATCAAAGATAAAATCGATTTTTTTAATGACAACCAGAGCATGAAGATGCATGATTATTGCAGCACTTAATAAACGCATGAAAATGCGCTTGGAACAGTGTGAATTCAACCTTGTAGAGCACCCTAGCTGTGGTTGATAAGCCAGTTCCTGCACCAGGGGGTCCACTGTAGATCATGAAAGAGAAAACGGACTGCTTGTCATATACAGCTGGGGAACTCATCACCATCTTGCAATTATAGGGTCTACCAGGTTGCAAGTGGCCATATGGCCCACAGCGAATGAAACCTCACTTTCCATTGCTGGCTAAGTTGGTTATATTTAATAATATAGTGACTCGGAGCATTTTACTTCCTGGACCAGTCTACCTTGCTTGCATCTCAGCACAGCGGCAGGATTTTTCTTGCTCTATCGTCCAGATGGCCACTTCACCCATGGTCCTTCCCAAGCACCCTGGGCCGGTGCCACCACTAGCAGAGCTAGGCAACAGCCTAGGGTGCAACCACAGCCACTGGTTTCCCTACTCTCCACCATGGCTTGGTCTAGGGGAGTGCTAGGGTAGGCTATGCCCCCCAGATTTCAGTTGGTTTCTCCATGGACCCTGTGCCTGTCCGCTGAGTGCCTTCCCCCCCATCCCCGCACTCACAGCCCGGACAAGGGGAGAGCAGCCTGGAGCAGTGAAGCCTGCAAATGAGAAATGACAGGAGAGAGCCGGGAGGTGCGGGCTGTGCTCTCCTGTCAGTGTAGCGATCCTCCATAAAGCAGATCACTCTTACATCAGCATGTTCAGTGTTTGATTCATTCTCTGATTCCCTGCTGCCGAGAGATGAGCGGTCATTGGAGGAGATAGGGAGTGGGGTGATTTGTGCTATGTGGGGGGAATTTGTTCTGGGAAAGGTAATTTGGAGGGGGTTATGCTAGGTGGATGGATTTAGTGGGATTTGTGCTAGGAGGTGTGATTGGGGGGATTTATGCTCGGAGGGGGGTTTTGGGGAGAGGATTTGTCAAGGATGGAAAATTTGAGGGGAAAGAGGATGTGTACTAGGAGGGGTGAAGTAGAACTACAGGTAAAGTTTTAATTTTTTTGGGGGGAGTGCAAGTAGCTTATCTTGCTTAGGGCGGAATATAGTCTAGCACTGGCCCTGCATGCACCACCACCCTATCACCTCCATCCCCACTTTATAAACTCCCAGGGGAAAAGGAAGTCCAGCCCAGATTGGTTGGCAAGGGGTGGAAGCCACCCTACAGGGGACACTAACCCTTTCTTACAACCTTAGCAGGTTAACATTAAAACATGTACAAAGAAGCATATGTTGCTAGCACACCATAGATCAATTCAAAGGTCCAAAGCTTTTTTGAAGTAATCACATCACACCAGGTTTAAGTGCAACATTTCAAAGTCACTTAGGACTCCTTAAGGCATTTGGACTTTTGAACTGATGCACATTGTTCTTGTTAGATAGGTACAGTATGGTGCTGTGGCAAAAGCACACAGAGGCCTGGAGAGCAGTAAACAGTGTATTGAAGAACTTGCAAACAGTACAACAGCATGGCGGGGAGCTCAACCAACAAAGATCTTACAGCCTATACAGTGGAGAGTCAGCGGTAGTAGACCAAGGGAGGTGGAATGCAGCCTGGCTGGTCCAACCAAAGAGGTAGCTTTCAGAAGTGCAGACATAGGCCCTGCTCCTCTGAAACCTCTCCTTACTGCTAGTGCTGTCCCTGACAGGCAGGTATGCTCTTCCTACACTGGCTTGACAAATGTGTACCAAAACCTGGGGGCAGGGACTTAAAAAGCTTCTGCATGATCCAAGATGGCCACCAGGGTCACCTGGATGCAGCGTAGCCAACCGGAACGCTGCTCCAGGGAACCATAGAGAAACCAAGTTTCCCTTGACCTCCCCTCCAGCTGCAGTACCACCCTAGATGAGCACCACCTACAGCAGAGAAAATAGACTGCAGTGCCCTACATACTGGCAACCAGGGACAGAACAAGGGGTGGGCAGAAGGGGCAGAAGGGACAGCTGCTCAGGGTGCAATGGTTTACTATAGGGATGGGGGCACCTTCCTTCTGTGACAACAGCAGTAATTTTGACAAGCGAGGGACTGCTGGGCATAGGATCCCCTAAACTTGCACATCATAAATGGGGGGGGGGGCGTAGTTTGGCATCTTTGCCCTGGGCCCTGGATTACCTTGTCCTAGCACTGCTGGCAGGCAACATATATGCTTCCTTGTACATAAACAACTGGCCATCGATGCAGCATATCCATACTCCAGGCCTTAGCCAGGATGGAGTGCAATGAGATGTTGATCTGCATTAAAACATGTACACACAAGAGTGAATGGGCTCTTAAAGGCCAACTGACAAGTCTGTTGTGGTCCATTGTTGTACACGCGTTAACATTTGATATTTCATGTATTCTCGTGTGGCATGTCAATAAACCTTAATGGCCAAAAAATGGCCCTTTTTTTGTAACAGCTCAAGACCGTGGGCAATATACAGTGCCTTGAAAAAGTATTCATACCCCTTGAAATTTACCACACTGTCATGTTACAACCAAAAATGTATTTTACAAATAAGTATCTGAAGTGTGGTGTGTATTTGTATTCAGCCCCCTTTACTCTGATACCTCTAACTAAAATCTAGTGGAACCAATTGCCTTCGGAAGTCACGTAATTAGTAAATAGAGTCCACCTGTGTGTAATTTAATCTCAGTATAAATACAGATGTTCTGTGAAGCCCTCAGGTTTGTTAGAGAACATTAGTGAACAAACAGCATCATGAAGGCCAAGGAACACACCAGACAGGTCAGGGATAAAGTTGTGGAGAAGTTTAAAGCAGGGTTAGGTTATAAAAAAAAATATTCCAAGCTTTGACCATCCCAGAGAGCACTGTTCAATCATTCGACAATGGAAAGAGTATGGCACAACTGCAGACCAAGAAATGGCCGTCCACCTAAACTGACAGGCCGGGCAAGGAGAGCATTAATCAGAGAAGCAGCCAAGAGGCCCATGGTAATTCTGGAGGAGCTGCAGAGATCCACAGCTCAGGTGGGAGAATCTGTCCACAGGACAACTATTAGTCATGCACTCCACAAATCTGGCCTTTATGGAAGAGTGGCAAGAATTAAGCCAATATTGAAAGAAGGCTATAAGACATCCTGCTTGCAGTTTGTGAGAAGCCATGTGGAGGACACAGCAAACATGTGGAAGAAGCTGCTCTGGTAAGATGACCAAAATTGAACATTTTGGCCTAAAAGCAAAACAGTATGTGTGGCGGAAAACTAACACTGCACATCACCCTGAACACACCATCTTCACCGTGAAACATGGTGGTGACAGCATCATGTTGTGGGGATGATTTTCTTCAGCAGGGACAGAGAAGCTGGTCAGAGTTGGTGGGAAGATAGATGGAGCCAAATACAGGGCAATCTTAGAAAAAACCTGTCAAGTCTGCAAAAGACTTGGAGACTGGGGTGGAGGTTCACCTTCCAGGACAGCGACCCGAAACATCCAGCCAGAGCTACAATGGAATGGTTTAGATCAAAGCATATTCATGTGTTAGAATGGCCCAGTCAAAGTCCAGACCTAAATCCAATGGAGAATCTGTGGAAAGACTTGAAAATTGCTGTTCACAGATGGTCTCCATCCAATCTGAC